CGCTGATCGACGGTAGTTCAGGCACTACCTACAGTCAGACTGCAGATCTGGCAAAAACACTTTGACTCTCTCTTAAACAACCGTTCAGAGAATGACTGCCCTACAATGAACGGCCTCAAACAGCACGATGTGAAGATGAGTCAGGTGGATGCGCCGACACCGGATGAGACGCAGAGAGCACTTGCTCAACTGCGAAACGGCAAGTGTGCCGGTGCCGAAGGGATCGTGCCTGAAGTGTTGGAACACGGCGGATCTGCCTTGGTGACTGCTGCACCACTTTGTGCAATGAGTGTGGATTGAGGAGGTGCCTCCTGAGCTGAAGAATGCCCTTGTGCTACCACTGTAAAAGAGCAAGGAATGTTGCACGAATTATCGTGGCATCAACTTGCTGAGTTGTGTGGGCAAGGTGATTGCCCGAATCCTGCTCAACCGCCTCATAAGTCAGGTTGTGGAACCGAACGTGGCGGAAGAGCAAGGTGGATTCCGTTCGGGTCGCAGCACCGGTGATATGGTGTTTGCGGCTCGTCGATTGCAAGAAAAGTGCAGAGAACGACACCAGCTGTTGTACTCACTGTTTTCTGATACCATCAAAGAATTCGATAAGGTGAATGCGAGGCATTATGGCTGGTGTATAAGTAAGTTTGGTTGTCCGCATAAGTTTGTAAGTTTAATTGATTGTCTGCACAGTGGTATGCGGGCGAGCGTGCAGCTGAGTAGAGATACCTCGGATGACTTCGCAGTTATGTCTGAGTGAAGCAAGGCTGTGTCTTAGCTCCTGCCCTGTTTAATATTTATCTTCATGCAGTTATGTCCTGTGCTTTTGATGCCGCTTGTGCTTATGGTGCTCGTGTGGAGCACCGTCGTTTCGGTGCGAGAACCCTCGTCTGTGAGACAACTATCCGTATGCTGCTGTTCGCTGACGGTTGCGCGTTGTCTACACACAGCGCGTATGAGTTGCAGCACATAACTAGTGCTCTGGCTTCGACAGCGACCAAATTCGGGGCTCACCATCAAAATAAGCGAAACTGTCTCTTTCATCCTTCGTCGGAAGTGCAATCTGCAATGGTGCCCCGAAACAGCATCGGTGATGAATTGGTGGAAACCACCTCCCGCTTCTGCTACCTTGGGAGTGTGATGTCGACTGACCAGCAGCTACACAGTGAGCTTCGGATCCACGTCTGGAAGACAGCGGCGGCATTCGGGAAGCTAGAGTACCGAGTGTGGAACAACCATCAGCTTACCGTTGGCACGAAACTGATGTTCTAAAAGTCTATGATGCTGTCCGTTCTTCTATACGGTAGTGAAACGTAAGCGATGTACCGGCGAGATGTGAGACATATCGAGCGGTTTCATTAACACTGTCTGTGCCAGATTCTGCGCAACAGAGTTGCAGACACTGAGGTGTTGCGCCGAATTGGAATATATGCAGTGGACTGCGTACTTTTACTGAGACGCCTGAGGTGGCTCGGTCATGTGTGGCGTATGGATTCGGCCAGGATACTGAAGCAGCTATTATATGGTCAACTGAGTGTGGGGCAGTGGCATGCGGAGAAACTGAAGCTTCGTTATCAAGACATGGTCAAAGTGAGCCTATCACGTTCTAATGTTGATTTCAGGTGTTGGGAATCGAAGGAGGTTAATCGGCGTACATGGTGCGATCTGATCACGAAGGCAGTTGCCGAGGTGCAGGAAAAATCCCTCGTGTATGCAGAGAAGCGGAAGTGCCAGGCGTCGATGGAATGTATTTCATCGAGATCTAACGCATGGTGCTGTAGCACATGCGATCGTGAGTGCCTGAGTCAGGCAGGCCTAGTGAGCCATGAGCGAAGCCACTCGGGACCAGCATCGGAACTGGCGCAAGGTTGACAGGCAAGTTACATATGCTTTCATTCGATTTATCAACCGCGTGCTTGGATGCTGAGTTTCTTTGTTTTAGGTTTGCTATATTGTCTTAATGTTTATGTGGTTTCAGCATTTTAATGTCTACCCAAATAATCTATTTACCCGCTCACGTCGCTTAATCGAAAGGTGGTTAACTTCGTCAATTTTTTCACATTTGTTGCATGTTTTTCATCTCGTATTCTAACATCTTCAATTTATTGCGGATTTATTGATAATATATTTACTCAAATGCTAACTTAGCGATAATTTATGTCTGCATGGCCGTATGCTTTAATCGATATATTTTATTTGATATTATCATTTGAAGTGAGTGGCTGTTTCTTAACACCCGTATTGTGGCTGTGTTTAGTGTGCACGCTGACAAGGTACCTACCTGTCTAACACCCTCCACCTGGCTCCATCATGATCATCATCAGCAGCAGCAACAGCAGTACATCAGCCATTTAAACTGATGCTTCGCTGCCATACAACCATGATGACCTATGAAATAAAGGATAATAAAGAGAGAAGGGGGACTTGGAGGGTTTCGGTGTGGCTCTCTTCCATCCCTGCACTCCATGACCGACGGTTTCGTCTTCGTTTAGACACAGCAGGTAGAGATAGCTGAGCTAGGAGTGGAACTCGGGGCATAGTGCTTGGTGGCTATCGCTATGATCACTAGGCCATTGAGTTCCGCGAGCAGTGTTTGACACAGCGGTTAGAAGTAGATTTTCGAGTTTTGGAGCACCCGCCCTGGGTCTTTCGGGAAAACTTTAATGCCCTAAGCAAACATTCAGGGTCAAGGCGCCTACACCTTGTGTAGACAGCATAACGTCACAGACAACTGGCTATTGTGCAAAGATAAGGCGGCATCGGCGAGACAGCTTCCTTGCGGCTTTCACTGCCCCGTCTCAGATCTTCAGACAGAAGGGGCCAAGTCTCAATACCATAGAGCAGAACGGCCCTCACTGTGACCTTGTATACAAAGCCTTTCAGACGTGGGGAAACTCCCTTCTGTCGCTAAAGATGACGCAGGTTCAAGAAGGCAGCACTAGCCTTTGCAATGCGTGAGCTGACGTTAGATTCTATGCGCCCATCGTTGCTGATGCCGCTGCCAAGATAAGTGAATTGATCAACCACCTCGAGTTCCTTGTTAGCAAGGGTCAAGGGGTCATAAAGTGGCTAGTGGTTCTACAGAAACGCTTTGCACTTTGAAGGTGCGAAGTGCATACCAAATAATGGGACCACTCTAGGCAGGCTATTCAGGGTTGATTGTGCCGCCGCAACATCGTCCAAAGTAAAAAGATATCGCCCGAATAATCAAGATCAACTAATCTTTCACCAGGCAGCACTTCAACGCCTCCATCTTGAGATTTCGCGCATACTGGCTCCAGGAGACGGTGAATCGTTGCTAGAGAGACAAGATGTGGTGGGCACGTTGCATGTTTATCGATCGATCGAGCTTAACGATTTCGGGCCAACAGACTGAAAAGACGGTCGATCGCTGCAAGAGGCGTACGTAAGTTCGATTTACATGAACGACGCCCGAACACTGACCGAGTATGCAATAGCATGGAGATGTGCCCTACCTCCATGAGTGGTTCTACACAATGTCAGATATAAAAAGTGTCAACGAACAGATGCAGGATTTCTCGATAAGCAACATAGAAAATCGTGGAGAACATAAGTGTTTTCACGACGCTTCTGTTTCGAGGATGACCAGTGAGCTTCCAACTAAACTCAGGAGCCACTGTCAACATCCTCTCTGAGAAGCACTGTGTAGGAGTGACATGTGATAGAACGCAGAATTGTATCAGAATGTGGAACAGTTCAAAGCTGCGACCGAAATGTACCGCTGCGTTGAAGGCCATCAATCCGAGAAACAGCACAGAACACCATTTTGGGCATTGATTCTATTCAGTCTCGGCTTTTTTCTTTTAACCATGAACGTTTTGTCCATATGTGTGAAGCTAGCATAGATATTGTGGACAGATACCCGAGCGCGTTTGACGGAGTCGTAGGGAGATTCGAATAGTATGCTCATTTATCTTTAGCCGAATCCGCCAAGCCGGTAGTGTTGCCAATCAAAAAGGTGCCTATCGCCTTACGTGAGAGGTTTTTACATGGACTGCAGCGTGTTGCCAGTTTGGGTGTAATAGCCAAAGTTGAGGAGCTAGCCCGGTGTCGATTGTCACTAAGAAATCTGAGGAACTACGCGTGAGCATTGATCCAAAACCACTTAACGCTCCGCTCAAAAGGGAGCATTATACGCTACCAACGCTAGACGACGTACTTTCGGTGCTATCCAGAGCTAGAATATCCACAAAAGTCGATCTTGCTTCGGCGTTTTGGCACGTATTACTTGACGAAGTGTCAAGCTACCTGACCACGTTTGGGACACGTTTCGGGTGTTTCCGTCGGCTTCGTCTATCGTTTGGACTGAAGGTACTCAGCGAAATATTCCAGAAACGATTGATGCATATTTCAGACGATTTACCAGAAACGTTCTGTGTAGCAGACGACGTTTTGGTTTTTGGCGCTACGCGAGAGGAGCATGACCAGAAGCTCCACCGATTTTTACAGCGCTGTTTTGAAAGGAACATCAAGCTGGAACCTGAGAAGATCGAGTTGTGTAGGACGGAAGTGGTGTTTCATGGACACGTGCTAAGCTCCGAAGGACTGAAGTGAGATCCATAGAAAGCCACGGCCGTCAAAGAGATGCCTCCTTTTACTGACGTAAAAGCTGTTAGAAGCAGGCTGAAGGGGATGGTAAATTACCTAAGTTGTTTCTTGCCCAGATTAGCCGATGTAATGGTGCCGATTCGGAAACTGACGCATAAGGAAAGGAGGTGGTATTGGGACGCGGAGCAGGAGAGAGTATATCAGCAAATAAAGGAGTTGACCACGAACGCCCCCGTTCTCGCTTACTAAAACCCAGCACCCCCACTCGAGATCCAGTGTGACGGCAGTCAGTATGGTATCGGAACCGTACTCACGCAGAACGCTAAGCCTATCGACTTTCGTAGCCGGACGCTGACAGAGGCCGAACGTCGTTACGCGCAAAGAGAAAATGAAATGCTTGCATTGGTTTACGCCGTGGAGCGTTTCAATTACTATACGTTTGACTGCAAATCCACCGCCTTTACCGACCACAAGCCCCTAGTGTCGATCGCCCGCAAGCCGCTCCATGTTGTTCCACGCCGCCTGCAAAGTATGCTTATTCGTCTGCAGAAGTATGACCTGGTGACTGTCTCCCGGCCAGGATCCCAGATGCATATTGCGGACACACTGTCAAGAGCGCACCTGTCAGACACGCCCGGAAAGGAAGAAGACCCGGACTTTGTCCATGCAACACAGTTGATCGCCGTCACTGAGGAACGCTTGCAGCAGCTCCAACGGTGAACGGAGGACGAACTGTCCATGCTACTGAAGCACACGATAATGAACAGATGGCCAAAAGACAAGAAATATCTACCTAAGGAGATGACTCCATTTTTCCATTTTCGCGACGAACTCATTACCCAAGATGGATTAATATTCAAAGGCAACAGGATAGTAGTTCCAAAGGTACTGCAACGTTCGATGGTGGAGTTGATACATTGTTCACATATAGGAACCAACAACTGCGTGGCAAGAGCTAGAGAGCTGTTGTTCTGGCCCAGAATGGCCAGCCACATACGTGATTACGCCTACAATAGTGTGGCATGCTGGACACACGACGTACGCCAGCCAAAATAACCGATGATACTTCGTGACGTTCTTAACATATCCTGGAAGATGGTTGCACTGGACATTTTTGCTTACGACGGAAGGAACTATTTGATTGTGGCAGATTATTTTAGTGACTACTTCGAGACTGTTGCGTTTACGACGACTAGTACGCAGGCAGTGGTGAACAAGTTGTGGTGCCAATTCGCTCGGCATGGAGTACCCGATGTAGTGATTTCCGACAACGGGCCACAATCTAATAGTGCAGTTTCGTGCTTTCAGCAAGAAGTGGGATTTTGTCACCGACTAACCAGCCTATACCGTAGCCAATCAAACGGAAAGGCTGAGTCCGCAGTGAAGGAGGCAAAGAAAGTGTTTAAAAAAGCCAAGGAGACCCAGGAAGATCCCTACATAATGCTACTGGATCAAAGGAACACGCCATCTACTGATATCGGTGTGCATCGATCACAGCGTCTATTCAGTTGCCGAACAAGAATGCGAATACCGACCGCTACAACATTACTGCAGCTCGAGATAGCTTCGGCCGATGTTCTCCACGACCTACTACGGAAGAGAATGCTAAGGCAAAAGAATTACTATGATCACGGATTGAAAAACCTTCCACCACTAGCTACGGGAGAAGAGGTATGGGTGTAGCTAGTATTGGGATCCGAAGAAACCTAGCGGAAGGAAGTGATCGAAGGCCTGAAGGGAGAGAAGAGCTATGAAGTCAAGGTTCGGGGCAAAAGCATTCGACGGATTTGGGTGCAAATGGGACGAGAGCGCCATGAGTGGACACCGCAAAGAGAGGGTCAGCAATAATAACCGGAGAGCAGTCCTGCTATCCAAGTCCAAATCAGTAAACGCATACGCAGTGGAAGGCAATACGGAGTATATTGAAACGCCGTGCTAAAAAATCGAAAAAAGTAAGGATGTGGTGAGCGTGCCGCTGGTTTATCGAACGATCGAGTCTAACGATTTCGGACCAACAGTATGAAAGATGGTCGATCGCTGGAAGTGGCGTAATGAAGGATAGTATGTAGTCGATTTAGATCTACATGAACGAAGCTCGAACACTGACCGAGAATGCAATAGCATGGAGATGTGCTGTACCTCTGTGAGTGGTTCTAATCAATTGTAGATATAAAAAGAGCTCTTGTTCTTTGAGTAAAATATTCCTGACCGAGGCCGAGACTTTAGCTTTTGATTCATGGAGGGCCACACAACAGGGTGTACGGTCCTCGTGGCTGTGCTAGGGTCGAAGAGTGGTTCCATCCAGTGTGAAGCAGACTACGGCTCAGCCACCGCCTTGTGTACGTCTGGCACACATGGTTTCCTAGTTAGGTATGAATGCTTCTGCTCTTCTGGTTGAAAGAGTGTGTGCGGGCTCCATTGATGAAGTGTGACTCCCATCCACATACCTCCTGGTCGTAATCCTTCAGATTTACACTGGATATGGGGTGTATGGATGGAGCTGTGGGTGGCGCAGAGCAAGCGACCCTGGTCCCTCTGCAGGCACAGGCGTCCTGTGGTTGCGCCTGTTGAGGCCGCAGTGACAGACCAATCTGGAACCAGATGCAACCAACCAGTACTGGCTCATTATAGTTAGATGTGTAAGAGTCGAAACATCAATCGCACTGAGTTAAGGTAGACTCTCGCCGTGATTGTAAGGATGGATACTTCGTTAATCTTTTAAATTCATTAGCCATATCTCCTCCTCACAGGATAGCAGTATCCGCAATTGCGCACCAGATCTGACTGGTCACGGGATTACTTCATATATCCGACGCGGGTCACCGTTTCGAACTTACATAGGTGTTAGTGATCTTGCATCACTCTACCTCGCATACAACGGGCATTGGCGGCTACCTATCACAGAAATGTCGGTAGATGATTCCAAACCATATCTGTGTGCTAGCTGATAGATACCTCTTCATCTGTGTGGAAGATTATTGATTCGAAAAGGGACCCACCGATATAAATACTGACAAAGGTAGCTTTATCATCAGGATTGCCACAGTTGTTCGGATAACTTAACAGCTTAACCAGTTAGACTGATTTCCCGAAGATCGTAAGAATCTACCAAGCATCTGGAGAAGCACCATTTCGTCCTAGTGGGACTTGTCAGTAGTGCACATTCGCTGGCTCTATCAGGAACTGTGCAGATCCCAGATGTTGTATGTAACTGCTGTTGTGGGAAACCGTGGCTCTAGGAACCAACATTGTCCATCGCAAAGTTCGTAACTTGGTAATGGAGGACGAATTGTGCTACATCACAGATGGCTTGTACATCATGACAGTCTATCCTCTTAACCCATAACCTGGTGACATAAGCCACTGGTGCAGGGAAGTCGTGGATGAGCTCCGATTGGAGCCGGAAGATGTGCACTATCGATGAGGAAAAATCCGGTCATCTATTGCTTTCAGAATGCACAGGGGAAGTTAGAATAGAGATCTCTCAATAAATTACTTTGACAATCCTCTACTCACGGGCGGTGGTGTGAACCAATATCATCTGAAGTATCTTATGTTATTATGATGATTTGAAACACACACCTGTCTAAAGAGAATACACAGATCTGTCTGCACAGTAGCTGGATCCGATCTCGAGATAGTGCATCACTTCCGCGAAATGTCGAGTTCGGCTAAAAATTATGGTCCGAAACTGAAGCACGACTCAAGGTGCAGGGGTAACAAGTAAATAAAATGGTGAGTAAATGAGGTGGGATGCGAACGAGATCACGCGAAACTAATTGCGATGGAATATTATGGGCTAGATGTAAGAAATTGAATGGCGGAGCGTTATTGACTACTTGGCTCAACCGTGTCAGATAGGGTCTCTAACCACTGGTGTGGACCATTCATGAAGACGACACGTACCAGAATGACGAGGACTCTATGTCGATTTCTTCAAGCCATTATGCCACAAAATCGACTGGCCACCTTGCGGTTTCGTCCCACTTGGCACAATGAGGACATTAACGCACGCCGAGGAATGCAGACAACGAGCATGCGGAGAACGCGATTAAGCCAGCGTAAACGGTTAGACTTTAACAAACACTCCAAGCAGGCGTCGGAGGATCCCTTATTAAACATTAACTGGCGGACCTCAGCACTATTCACCCGGCGCTCCCATCAAATGTGAGCAATGCCCCGGTCACCCGTTAGAAGTAGCCACTCATCACAACATTACTGAAAAGCATAAATTAAGCAGCTAATGGAGGTGGTTCGGTGTTGCCCGGAAGTACCGAGGTCTACTTCAAAGTGAATCGGAGTCACAATGAGATTATGTGTCGTAATCCAACGACAAGGCGGGTACTCCTAATCCAACCTTGAATTCCTTACCGCTGTGCCAAGCGTTGCTCACAGATCTCAATGGCACAGTAATCAAGGCGTCAGGCGTTAGCCACTAGATCTTGAGTTCCACCCCTGATCAGTCTATCTCCACCTGATGAGGCTGGATCTTACCGTGGTGCGATGATTTGCGTGCCTCAGAGATCCACTGAGCTATGCTGAGTGGTGCTTATTTGCACCTTCAGAGTCTCATACCACATTGGTCAATGGTTAGAGACCAGATAAACAGTCTCCTGGTCCTCCAGATTGGGGTTTAGAATGAGGGTGGCCCCTTGTTCCTTAAAACGGACTCCTTCTAACCCAATGCCAAACCCGCTGCCTTGCGGTCAGGTTTTTGAACCAAAAACTTTGGTTGAGAACTTTAATCGTTCGCCTGTCTAGACCTGGGCAACCTGATAGTATCCTACCCACGCAATATTATGAACCTTCCTTCAAACAATTTATTGATGCTCTGGCCGCGCAGAGGATAATCAACGGTGCCCTATCTGTTGCATCGAGCAAGGTTGATAGGGGCGCGGATGCTACTGCTCAAGCCTTCCCGTCTTCTTATTCCCCCTCTTACGCTTTTTCATCCCTATCGTCCTGTTCCAACTACACTTTTATCCCCCGGTTTTCAACCCCTCCATTCTTGGCCCTCCTCACCACGCTTAAATAGGTGTTTAGCTTCTCGTTTCAGTTCATATGCAAACGCGGAGCGTCAATCCTGCCGTCGACAAGCCTACATCCAAGCAAGCGGTCAAGCTTAGTTCGTCGGCCTCCATTTGGAGCCCCCGATTACCCTTCAGATTGGCATGCCTCAATGTACGCACATTGCTGCAGATCGGTCAACAGGTGGCACTTTCTCGAACAATGGAGATCATCTCGGTCGATATCTGCTGTTTATCGGAAACTCGCCCGCAAGACCCGAGCTTACTTTACGACCCCCTTCAGGTGACACCAGCAATACTTTTTCAATGCGCCTATCCGGTGACGATGCAGTTTCGATCAACGGCCAAGTGGGTTTTAGTATTGCCTTGAGTCCCCGGGCTGAAGCTGCTCTGGTTTCTTGGAGCCCAATCAGTAGCCGGATGTGTGCGGTCCGATTGGCTAGCTCATTCAAAACTTCGAAGTCGCGCGGGACTAATAGATGTCTATTCGTCATCGCGGCTTACGCGCCCACAAACTGTAGCAATGATTCGGTAAAGAACGACTTCTATCGCCCACTGACCCAGCTGCTTCGCCACAGAAAAAGCACCGACACTGTTGTGCTGGCTGGGGATCTGAACTCTCAAGTTGGAAAGTTGTCCACTGATGAACTGCAACTGGGCGGTCAACACGGTGTAGGATCCTGTAATGATAACGGTGATCGGTTACTTCATTTGTGTGAAGATGCCCGCTTATTTTTTACGAGCATTAACTTCCGACACAGCACTCACCGGAGCGTGAGTTGGCGCCGACCAGCCTCGAACCAGATATGGACGCAAATCGATCGCACTGCAATCAGTTACCACTGGAGAGACTGCGTCCAGAACTGTCGCTCGATTTGGAGCACATGTGAGGACACCGATCATGCACTGGTACGCGCAAACCTGCGCATGCGTTTTGGCGGACACTCACGAGGACGCTGTGAGCGCAT